CAACATTGGTAAAATTTCTAGATATATCTCATAAAATATAAAAACTTGAGCTCAATTTTTGCTTATTGCTTCTAAGAAATTATTTAAGCCATTATCAGTTAAATAATCCTCGACACATCAGTAACTTAAACATGTCTTGTGTAACACTTCACAGTTTGCAAGTTATTTCTTTATATTCTTTATCTTAATAATCTATTATTTGTTAACTGCCCATACAAATACTATACAAATAAGAAAGTTAAAACTGTAAGGAAAAGAGATGAAAAAATAGCAAGACAGAAAAATACCAAGAAATACCAGTCACTTGGCAACAAAATGTTTGCTATAAATCATCTAAGTTAACTGGAACTCAGCTGGCTTGTTCATTCATTCATCCAACAAATATTTACTGAGGTACTTACTAAACAGCCAGCTCATTTATTTTTGCATCCACAGAACCTAACATAGGCCTGGGTCATATTAGGTGCTAAATAAATATTTCTGGAGAGGCTTCTAGCATGTACTGAAGTAAAAGATGAAAAGTTACATTCCTGTATTATTTTCCTTTTCTTTTCTCTTTCTCATTTCTTTTGTTTTTGTTTTTGTTTTTGTTTTTGTTTTGAGACAGAGTATTGCTCTGTCGCCAGGCTGGAGTGCAGTGGCATGATCTTGGCTTACTGCAACCTCCACCTCCCGGGTTGAAGCGATTCTCCTGCCCCAGCCTCCCAAGTAGCTGGGAATACAGGCGTGCACCACCATGCCCAGCTAATTTTTGTAGTTTTGGTAGAGATGGGGTTTCATCATATTGGCCAGGATGGTCTCCACCTCTTGACCTTGTGATCCGCCAGCCTCAGTCTCCCAAAGTGCTGGGATTACAGGCGTGAGCCACTATGCCCAGCTATTTTTCTTATTAATCATCACCATTATTATAAATCATGTTCTCTGCCATCAGAAAATTTATTTCTATTTGTAAATAATGGACAAATATAAAATAACTAGAGAATAATTCATGATAAAAGTGAACTACAATAAATAAGGCAACTATTAACAAAAAATAATCATTCATCCAATTAAAATTTCACCATAGACTTTCTTTAAACCACCAATCTCCATAATCAATTCTTAGTTGAAGATGTCTGAAAACATCCTTTAAGATTTGAAGCTTCTCAATAATATGGCTGCTTATATCAAGTTCTATAATTTTTCTGTATTGTAATCAGGAAGCTGGAGGACTTTCTCAGAGTTATATAGAAATTAAAATGTCTGTCACTTTACTTGACCTGTTAAATAATTGAAGATCTACACTCATCCTAAGCCACAGTATTTTCAATGTATAATTCATTAAAGCTATTAAATCTTTCAGAAAATATTTATTGAGCACTATTATTCTAGGTACTATACTAATTAATTGCTCTTCACTTCATGTCTTATCTTCCCCTCACCCCTTCATAAAACCTTAAAAATTTCAATAGTAATATTATATGACTTTGAGGTTAACAGTGGTAGCATTAATATTAATATGACAAAAAAATTCATCTGTCAAACTGGGCCACCTAATTAAAAAACCATTTTATTCCAAGTTGTTATGTTTTTAAGAGTACAGTTAATCAAACTTTTTAAAAATCCAACATTTTTATTCTGAAAAATTGGATGATAAACCATGTCAAATATTCAAATCTTCATTAAAATTATATGCCAATCAGATTTTTAAAATTATCTAATTGAAATAGCATTATATATTTCAGCAATGATGGAGCACATCTTAATGAATGCAACCAACTTTCTAATTTATTGGCTCACTCTATCAAATAAGGATGAAAATAAGACTTTTTAATCTGATCAGTATATAGTTTATACTTAGCTGACTTTGAAGGCTTACACACAAATTTTCCTTACAGTTTAAGGGATAATGACTAGGTCTAACTTTTACAGATAAAAATGTATCATCGATAGTATAGCACCAATTAGGTTTACTTCTAAGTCAGTTATATTCACAAACCTAAATCACACAGCAATAATCTAAAATTTATAAATCTTATTTTTCCTTTTAAATTTCAATCATGAAAGAAGTAGAACAATTTATTTGGGAAAAACAAAATGGACTCAAAGGTACCTAAATAATTTGATAAAACAGCCTTTGAATATTCTCAAATCTACATATTAAGAACAGTTCTGTTTCTATCACCCACAGGCATTATCTTGTGTCCCTTTGCACTTTCTTTGTTCCTTTCTTCCCTTCCTTTATTTCGTACTTTCTTCCTTCTTTCCTTCCTTCCTTCTTGCCTTCCTGTCTGGTTTTCCTTTTTTCTTTTAATTTCTAATTCCTCTTTCTTTTATTATTCCATGCACCCAACATTTTGGGAAAGAGCTGCAGGTAAACTTAGGTAGTAAAAAGAAAACCACTGGTCTTGTGTTAATTTTGATTATATGTTTAAAACATAGAAAAAGGCCAGGCACGGTGGCTCATGCCTGTAATCCCAGCACTTTGGGAGGCAGAGGCAGGTGGATCACCTGAGGTCAGAAGTTCAAGACTAGCCTGGTCAACATGGTGAAACCCCATCTCTACTACATATACAAAAATTAGCTGGGCATGGTGGTGGGCACCTATAATCTCAGATATTCCGGAAGCTGAGGCAAGAGAATAGCTTGAACCCGGGAGGCGGAGGTTGCAGTGAGCTGAGATTGTGCCATTGCACTCCAGCTTGGGCAACAAGAGCGAAACTTCATCTCAACAACAACAACAACAACATGGAAAGAAGTGACTTATCTCTACATAAAAGATTTGTTGAGTCTCTAATGTCTAATCACCTCTTCTAGGCAATGGGAGAAACAAAAATTTACTTGACCAGATTTGAAATAAGACTGAGTCCCATTAGTTGATAAGGAATGGGTAGGGCTGACACACAATAGTATTTGGGAAGCCCAGGAGGACATGGTTTACCAGCAAGGGAGATTTTGAAGATACCAAGTCCAAGAGAAAGGGTGTGTAGAGACATGCACTGAATCCAAAGAGAATGACCAGGCAAGACCAAGAGAGGAGATTCAGAAAGAAGAAGGCCTTCACAGTGCAGCTATCAGAAATCCATGGCTGGTAAAGGAGATATGGAGGTTATTGTGCTAGAATGGATGCTGAGAAAGTCAATTATTTACTTATGATAGGACCCTGAGATCACATTTGACCAGCACTAGAAAGAAATACCTATTTTTGTAGTCTAAAACTTTTTGACCATAAAATAAACAACAGTGGTTTGACTAATTCAATAACATAGCCCCTTGTGACTTGAGAGTGATCATTGTAGAACCTTTTCTCAGAGTAAAAGTGTAATTGGTTATGGATCAATAAGTAATTTCTTTTAGAAGGAAAAGACTCTTGTTTTCATTTTTATTTATTTATTTTTTGAAGTAGCAAAGCTCTTACATCAGAACTGAGCACATACATTTTGAAAGTTGAGATTGCTCTAAGCAGTAAGATTCCTTACTGTACTAGTGAAATGTATCTTAACTGATCATTTATTTATGATGCCATAAAAATCCAGATGCTCTTAATTTTGATTGTTACAAATTTGCTAAAAGGCACCTGAAATTACCTTTCCAGGGTTCCCCTTTTGACAACTACATTTTAAATTGAAATTTTACTATGGTCCAATAATGGCTATGCTGAGGGGTTTTGTTGTGTTTTTCAAGATTACCAATGAATTCAGCCCTTGTGGTCAGTGTAAACTCCTACACAGCTTATTGGAAATTCCAGAATTCTAAGACAAAATTAAGATTAAGAAAACAGTTTAATAAAAACAGAGAATGAAAAACTTGTAAAAGTTTGTGCTAATGTACTTTGGTGTTTCATGTTTTTCTTAATTATTTTAGAACTCGTACCCAATGGCCACATTCTAACAGGAAAGAACATGATGACCTAGTCAAATGTCCTTTGGAGCATGAGTACTGATAGAAGGAGAAATTATAGGGATAGACAAAACAAAATAGAACAAACTTCCATGGTTGCTTAATGCATGGGAAATAAACTGAATCTCAAGGATAAAAAAGAGGATGGGGAGACTTACATGCTTCTTCTGAAATCTTCTAAAAGATACATTTTAGACCAAGAACTATGATAATAAGAATCCTTTAGAAAAGTTTTTGAATGTGTGACACACTATGATTTTTTGGATATATCAATAAAATATTAATACCTCTTAACAATAAAAGACACTGTGCTTCTTTACAAATAATGTGAGAAAATGAAGATTTAAAGAGTTTCAACCATACTCATTAATAATTTTTAAAATGCAGAGAAAGAAGAGAGGTCCCTGAACCCTAAAGTTAATTATGGCAACTTTCAAAGGAAACTGAAGCTTTTCATTCATGACTACTCTTTGCCATCTATTATACGCTGAGTAAATTACTGTGGGAAGCTTACAACTTAGAGAAAAGAGAATGGGCCCAGGATGTAAGTTGGTAATTATGAATCAAAATATATGTTCCTGACACTTATGTATCAAAATAAGTACAAAATGGCACAGAAACAATCTTTTTGCCATCTTCTTTCACATCCCCAAATACCTTAAAGTATCCTTTCCTTCCTTTTATTTCATGTAGCTTCAGATAAGTACTTTCTCTAGTGAGCAAAGAAATAAAGACAGAATCCAGATCTTTGCATGTCACCAGTATTACAACCTCCTGCTTCCAGCCAGATGGTATGGTATCTCCTCCTGGGCAATAACTTATTTTATTCATTTGGCAAGTCTGCCTAAAGACACTAAAATCACTCCAAAAATTTTTTTAAAATTATTTTGAACACAGAATTAACAGGAATTCACACTCCAAAAAAAAGTTTACATTGCAAAGAACATGATTAACAACAGCAATAGGTATGTGGTCTTATTTCCTCTAGATTGTATTCATATTTCCTATAACAAAGTACTGGTTTCTGGGGGAAGGAAGCGTCCAAGAGGCAAAATTATAAATTCTTTACAAAAAGTTAACAGTAAAAAGTAAAAGCTGAATCTTATCCAAAAAGTACTTACTATATGCAGTTCTAGGTAGTCACCCAAGCCTGAAGAACTGTCCACTCGCACCAATACTGCTTCTTTCTGAACAGTGCTAAACCCTATGGCCAGTCTGTCTGCTCGTGTACTGGGTCGGTCATTAGGAGGCCACTTATACGTGATTTGTCCACCACCTTTGCTAAAGATATACGTTGTCCCAGCTGGAAAACAAAAACCAAAACCAATTAGTCCAAATACATCAAGTCTGCACATTAGCAAGGCATGTTATATTGATAGTACAGTATCAACTCTACACACAAAACTATGGCAAAGCAAATTACAGATTTCAATCAAATGTGCTCAGGAAAGTGGACTGAGTTGTTTTAAAAGAAATAGAGAGGTAGCTCAGTTTTTAATACACTGATTAAGTTTACCAGCAAGTGTCTCAGAACAAATAGTAGGTTACTGTGTTTCCCATGGAGTTGCACAAGAATGGAATGGAATGAGGCTTTATTTCTTCCTGCCAGTTTTTAAGAAATAGTTTCATAGAAAACATTGACTGGATGCTTCCAAAAAGCAACAGCAACATATATCAACTTGGTATTGAAACAGGAGCTGCATGCAGATGTGACAGGGTCATACAGCACCGTGGAGAAAGTCGCAACAAATGTGCTAGGAATATAACTTTTATGGAAAAAGGATCTACTTACATGTGACAGATAACTAATGGATGAACAGCCACAAGCCCCAGTAGCCATGTCAAGAAAATACAGCTAATAGATCTCATCCCTAAAAGTCAAGTTTTACTTAACAAGCAACATCTAGTAGCTGTCAAACTATTCAGAATCATAAAAAGACCCTCATCCTCTGCCACCCCAAGGTGAATACAAGCCTTATAGCACTGAGAATCATGTCACGGACTCATTCTGTGAGTGTTCAAGTTTTACCTTATGGTGGTCCTGTCAGTAAATTATCCAGCTTAATTGAAAAGAGTTGTTTTCAAACAATTTATTCAGCATTTGATATAGTTTGGCTCTGTGTCCCCATTCAAATCACGTCTGAAATTGAGATAATTTCAGATCCTCATGTGTTGAGGGTGGGGCCTGGTGGAAGGTGATGGGATCATGGAGCGGCTTTGCCCATGCTGTTCTCATGATAGTGAGTTCTAACAAGATCTGATGGTTTCATAATTCCTTGACATTTCCTCCTACACACACTTCTGTCTCTCCTGCTGCCTTGTGACAAAGGCGCCTGCTTCCCCTTCTACCATGATTGTAAGTTTCCTGAGGCCTCCTCAGCCTTGCAGAACTATGAGTCAATTAAACCTCTTTTCTTTATCAATTACCCAGTCTCAGGGAAGTTCTTTATAGCAGTGTGAAAACGGACTAATAGAGCATTTGATGCACTAAAGTCTTACCTCAATGCATCATTCAATGGCCATCCATTTTGTTTCTATTCTTTTGACGGCCTGGATAGAACCAAAAGGTGAAAAAAGAATGGATTTTATCTCTTTCTTCTCCTGACTGCTTAAAATGGGACATTGTTCTTTCCCTGCCTTTGCAGCTTCTTGTTCTCATGCCTTCAAACCTGGACTGAAATCTACATCATTGTTTCTCCAGTTCTCAGTCCTATGATCTACACCCATAGTTTTTCTGGTTCTCCAACTTGCAGACAGCAGATCATATATGACTTGATCATATATACATGATCATATATAATAAGAGAGAATATTAAACATCTTGTATTTATAGAAAAATATCTGGTACCAAGAGTAACATTTATGTGCAAAAGTTGTGTGTACAGCAGTATGTTTTCAAGATACTTATACATTGAATTGCTATGATTACCAAGTTTATCAGTTAAATGGAGATGACCTACTATCACATTTGTGTACATTTAATTAAACAGCTGACAATATTGATTTTGTGGCCATTTTTGGAGGCAACTCTTCTTTGTTTTCAGTTACAGACATTTCCATAGGCCTTTGAGAAACTCCAAAGACCTCTGCAATATGCATAGTGTAGCTGATGCTTAAATAGGCCTTGGTATATAGACCTCTTCCACAAAATATGTTAGGAGAAAATTGAATGCAAAAGTGATAAACAAGAATACTGTTAAAATGCAAAGGTATAGAGGCTGTGTCCTTCTCTATTAATTTTTGTGGATACCAATGCATGAAAATAGTTTATCTCTTTCAAGTGAGAAAAGGTAAACCATATTTCAAAGGCACCAGTCAGTGCACAAAGAAAATTCAGAATATACAGAGTATATATCAGAAATGCTTGGGCTTTCCTGAGCCACTTATGTTCTACAGCATCAGAAGCTTGTTCATCACCATCTTTATAGGCAAGTACTATTTGAGAAATATTTTTCTGCCTGGTAACTTTTGCAAATGATTAAGTATTAACTTTTCTAGTGAAGCCTATTGTTGATAAAAATAGGACAAGAACATATAAAAGTGGGGACGGCTTTAAAAGGAGGATGTAGTGGTTACCTCTGAGTGCTGATACTTAATAATTAATTTATTTTCTGTTTTTAAATTAACTTTGTTCTCTAATGACTATATATATTATGTGAAATAAGAAAAATATTCAAAACTAGAGATCCTATTTAACGATATAAAACAACACAAATCTAAGAATTCTGATGGTTTCAGAATTATAAGTGTGAGGTAAGCATTATAAAACAACATTGCATAGTAATTTTTAACTTTAAAAATAACATTCACAATTTAAAAAAATTCTTATCTCCTTATGTATGGAACATAGGGCAGACATTACTTCCATGCTATATCTGAGGAAATTTAGTCATAAGGATTAACATGCGATCTAAAGTTGCAAACTTGATTAATTGGCAGAGTTGGTATAAAACCCATATCCTCACTCCTATTCCAGTATATATATATATATATATATATATTTATGACAGAAATATTTCTGTTATCATAACCAGGCAGTCAAGAAAAAGTTAATTGGATGTCAGTCTGAATTTATCAAGGCCAACTGTTTTCATATTCTAATGTCTTATATCCATAAAGTGACATTTGCTCTTCATTATCATATACTTTCCTTTCACCTCACGATACTTTTAAAAAGAGAAAAATAACATGTAAATGTAAAATGACAGAACATTTAATATATGTAGATTAACATTTAGTTGGTGTGCACTTCCCAAACCTATGAAACTACAAAAGTTTCCAGCTCAGTTACAGAACTTGTGGGTAGTAATTTGAAGGTTTATATTCTCAGTAAGATAAGTGTCACAATATAAATACCATTACTCAAGATTTGATTCCATCTCAGATTTTAACCTTTTTCAGTGAATGTAAAACTTGATGACTACAAAGAGATTAGCTAACCTGTCCTGTTTAGAATGACTTTACAGTTTTTTAGGTTTCACCAAAACAAAGCAAAAAAAAAAAAAAATTGCAACTACTGTGTGTCAAACATTGTCATTATATCTAGTTTTCTTTTTTTCCCACCAAATATATCCAGAAAGCGGTCTTTCTTAATTTTTCTTCTGTATACATGGTAGTGCATTGTATTGTACTAATCAGTACAATTTTATAAGCAAGAAAATTAGATATCCAGTCCTTCCTCAGCTCTCTTCTATATACTTTTATAAGCACTCTGGCTTTTTATTTTTTTAAATTAACTTTGCATCAAACTTTACAAAATCTCCTATGTTCTTAAAGCCCTCTTTTCATTGAGCTAGAAAATTACTCTCACAATCAAATATAGTAAGTTAGATTGTTTAAAGTTTCAAAATCTACCTCCTTTAACACACATCTTTCTGAACCAAGGACATGTTGTACTTACTGAAGCAGAATAGCTTAGAGATTAGAATGTAAACTCTAGACTCAGAGAGATCTGGGTTCAAATTCCAACTGTGTCATTTGCTAGCTACGTGAACTTGGTAGCCGTTTATTCTTTAATGGGATTCCTATTTGAAAAATGATGGTGATAGCAATACTATCTTATAGAGCTCTATCAGAATTAAATGAGATATTACAAAGTAACATTTAGTCCATTTCCTGGTATATGATAAAAGCCTAATAAATTTTAGAGAGAATAGGTGTCATGTATGAGGGCAGTTGTGTGTGTGTGTTGTAAAAATATAAAATAATGAACACTGTAACATTGTTTTATTTTAATATGAAAGCCTTTAAAAAAGTTGGACATATTTCAAAGTTGTGTCCAAATCAAATGACTTTCAAAAATGACATTTCTACCTTCTAATTTTTATTAATCTTTTCAATATTTCGTAGCATGGATTAGAACTTTTATGTAAACTCATTATATTATTATTTATGTTCAGTAATAGTTGACAATGGAAGGGATATTAAATTGTATCACATGGGAGCTTTCATGAGAAAAAGAATATTAGTTCATCACCATAAAACATCCAGCATAGTAAGATTTATAGCATAATGCAAAAAAAAAATCACCTTACCATTACATAAAGACCAAACTTACAAAAAAAAAAAAAAAGAAAAGAAAAGAAAAAACCTGCTAGCTAGCTTTTTAAAAATTTTATCTTTAAAAAAACATGTTTTATTTTACTATATAAGTGAGTTAAATATGCATTGGTAGTTACATCTTAATCACAGTTCCAATATAGAGAGGAACTTAGAGGAATGTGTCACCTTTATTATTTATGCATGTTTCTACATGGCAAACACTACCACATCAGTACCATGTCTACTAATGGATTTACTGCAAATTAACCTTGACATCCATCAGATCACTGAATGTATGAATGACTGAAATTTAAAGTGGTTTTCAGCCATCTCCACATTTAAGCTGTGCATCACGCCTCTATTACTCACTCTAAATTCATTCACAAAGTTGGCTCTATCAGACACGAATTTAGCAATGTCAACACACTTTACACTCCAATAAATGTTTGTAAAAAATATACATGGGCTCCCATATCTCTTGCTTAAACTGCCTGTGATGTTATAATAAGGGAATATTTTTAGATCTTATTGAACATGCTATTTATATATAGGGCTCTCTCCCCTCCTGTTCTTTCTTGCCAACTGTCCCTTGCCTATATGTGCCCACTTCAGCCTCACATCAATTCTGCAAAGGCTAACATTTTCCCTTACATAGACTGAACATTTCTGAAAAGGGAAACCAATCAGCATGTACAGGTACGCTCAATTATTGGTTGCTCTGGATCCTTGCTACATGAACAATAATATAATTAACTTCCCAGT